TGAGTAGGAAGTAAGTATGACCGCCATGTTCCACATCTTTAAAAATAATTGAACCAATTAGAGGCATAAATCAGATGACACAGACAACAATGTGGTACATAAAATGTAGACATTGTAGTGTCTAGTCTCAAAGAACTGTAGAATTTGACCTAAGGTGTGTGAACTTCAGGATCTGTGATGCCCCTTTCTCTAGGACATTTATACCAACAGCAAAGTAGAGAAAGCAGAGGGACCCACTGACTAAAGTTGGAAGTGTCTGGGAAAACACCTTAGAATAGTGCATGTTTCCACTTAGCACGTGACTACCTTTTGTCACATTGTCAAATCTCTTCACCTGAATTTCAATGAAGAAATCACCACACAGAAAACAAATGAGTTACAGAGAAAAAGAAAGTACAGAAACTTCTCTGGTGTAACAAGTCAGAAGGCCAACTTCAGAATGCACAGTTCACATCCAATAGACATCTGATCAATCCCTGGGACTCAGTCCTGTCATCCTCCATGCAGGGTGTCTGTGGTATTAAGACCAGAATATGGATCAGGAGAAGGAAAAGCCTTGGGTCCTCGGCTGACTGTTCCTTCACAGCATGGTTAAGTGGTGTGTTTTCCAAGGAGATACTCCAGCAACTCCTGAGGAAGCTTGCTGGCCCTGAGAAACAGAACAGACATTTCAATGATGTTACGGGCAACTCCAGGGAGCGTGGCTTATGATCACAGTTGATTTCCACAACATGCATCATGTCACAGTATAATTCCCATTGTACAAATGAAGAAGCTGAGACTCAAATATGATAATGAGAAAGGGCCATGGGAACTAGATAGTGGACTCTGTGAATGAGACAGGCTGTGTGCTCCCACCAGTATCTGCAAAGGAAAGAACAGGCCAACAGTGCATGACAGGGTGAAGATTGAAAGCACTGACTGATGCATTACTTGCATTGTCAATCTGTGTCTCCAACTCTCTGAGGAAATAAAGCCCTGCCCTCCATGTTGGAGGTAGACTGGCAGATGACTAGTGTCTTCTAGCTACTTTGTTTTGGGGTCCCACATTTTTCCTTGTAACAGATACACATTGGCATACATCACCTTCATATCAGTGTTCCTGCATCACACATAAAAAGGCCTCTGAGCAGCATCCAACAATGCCTGGCGTTCCTGGTGTTGATTTTTCACCATACATTCTAATTCTTCCTGCTGCTGCTTGTTACTGCAAAAGTCTCCAAATGGGATGGTAAGATCAAAACACTGAAGGTCAAATCGGTACATTAAGCTTTTTTCAATGGTAACATTCAAATACATTCAATTTGCCTGCACCCCTTGTGAACAGGGGAGCACTACTGATGCCAGCAAAAAGATTTCAGTCCCTAGCAGAGTCTATCTCACTAAGTTCATTAGCATTGGCCATGGACAGACCTTAACATTCCTGGTAGTTCCCAGCTTAGGCACTGGAAAGAGGTTTCAACACCTTCCTAAATAATGGTACAGCTGACAGGAGATGGGTGCTGCCCTCTGCCCACCACCTGTCCCCTCACACAGGACAAGGTTGCTCTTACCTGTCTTTCTACTCTCAACAGTTAGTTCCAATTCCACACTAGTCACATAGGCTCACATTCTGACCAGTCCTGGACTTTCCCACCACAGGTCCTGGAGATGGTGACTGTCCATATCTGCAAAGAAAAGGGGTGGCAGCCTAGCACCAATGAGGGTGCACATATGGAAACTTACAAGATAGGTGGCTGGGACATAGGTCTTACCACCCTCATGAAGAAGAGCTTCTCAAAGTACCTGGTGTGGGCTAAGCACACAATGATGCAGCCCGTGCCAGGTAGGCCAAATGAGTGAAATACAAAGTGAAACAGAGAAGGCATGAACGGTATCACCAGACCAAATAGCACTGCTGTACAGAGGGCCCACTGACCCTTTCACATAGGTCATCCCGGAGCAGGTCAATAGGAGTAGCCTGTTTCACACAACTCTTTTTCTGCCTAGACACTCCCTTGACCACATTTGTGATTACTTGTGAGCATAGAGAAATCTATAAAGTCATTGATTTCCTGTGGAAGAAAACCTGGAGGCCATGAGAAACACGACATTGAAAGGAAAAAGAGTACATGAAATACACAATTTTGCTTCAAAGATGAAACGGTACAACACGACCTGCAAATGTCTTGTACTCCCAGATAACTGACAGCACTCAATTTGACAGTGAATATATTTATTCATAATTGGCAAATTTTCCAGCATTTTCAAAGCAAACTTACACGAATTACTGGAGATAGGATTAGATGGAATAATGTAATTTTAAGCAGGCACTTCTTTTAGAAAATGAAATGCAAAGCAATGGACAGCGTGACAGGTGGCCAGTACTTCTGAGCATCGCTGCCTTAAAACAAGCACCTGGTCAGTCAATTGCTGCAGTTTTACAATGAAAAGGCAACCAGATTTTCTCCAGGGCGGTACATCTATGAAATGACATACAGGAGAACTAAAACCTCCACAAATACAGTGATACTAAAATAATCTGACGGTAAAATAAAGTGACAGTTCAGGCTAGCCAGGAACTAGTGGACAGAACTGCCCTAAAGCAAGAGGCACAAAGCCAATGAAAACCTGATATATCTTATGTGTACATTGAAAATAACAAAAACAGGTTTTTACTCAAACTGATTAAAAGGCGCAGGAACACATATAATTGATCACACTTATACCAAATACTCAAATCTCTGTGAAGTAAATCCCCACCCTGTGTAACAGCAGCCAAGGACCTGAGTATTCACTGTCATAAAATAGCAGGAAAGCAGCCCACTGAGTAAGTTCTGCAGGGACCAATCACTCATTCCCAAACGTTTACTTTCAAGTTCATTTACAAATCCACCGACAGATGGTCCAAGAAAAGTAAATGAATGATGTACATTCATTCAGTGAGAACATCACAAGCATATTTTTAATTATGTCAAAAAAGAAATTATAATAAAAATCAAAAGGCTCTCAATCGGACCTTAATTTCCCCTGTGTGTACACAAAACTTTTTAACGCCCTGGATGACGAGCCCTGGGATCAAAACTTCACTGAATGCAAAGAGGATTAATATCTCACATTAAAGGCCAACCTGGGTCCAAACATGGATGAAAAAAGCCGCTGATGGACACCCATGGCCATTGAAAATATCAACTGCTCAGCCAGAGAATTTCCTGCAGCATATGCACACTAGAAACTCCTGTAGTAGAAAAATATTTTTCCCACAAAGGCAAATGAACATTAAGCACACTCAGAGGTTTGTAAAGTCATTTAAAAAGAACCCAAACAATTATACTGTAAAGGAAAATAAGTAAGACTATCCCTGGGGGCTTCATTCCCCTCAGGGTCTTAAAGGTACAAGCTCCTGCCAAACTGTCCGCTGTTTTCCATCTCCTGAAAGCCTAAATACCACCACGCACTTTAGCTGAATACCATGATATTACAGTACATTTTATACAAGCCCCAAACAGAGATCCAGGACCATCACAAGGTGATGCCGGTCGGTTGTTTAGTTAAGAAGCTTGAAGTCCACCACTTACTTCACATACAAATGATCTAAAAAGTTTATTCTCCTTTACCGATGACAAATGAGGAAGATTCTGAGCTTTAACTAATGGAATTATATTAACTATATGTTAAAAGAAAAATAAAACGACCCTGAAAGGCAGCTAACTGGCG